CATTTTTTCCTCTCATCCTCAGCCGACACCATCTTCATCCTCACCATCGTCTACAACCAGCTCCACCATTCATAACATCATCCATCACTTTCATCACTACCATCATCCACCCAAATCCTCACCAATCTACCGAGATCCATCACTACTCTACCCAAAATTTGCATCACCATCATTACCGATTCATCAAGTTCCATCACCGATCCATCAAGATCCATTGTCGATCTACAAAAATTTGTCACCAACCTACACGATCTTCTCCATTTCTTCTGATCACCAAGGTCATCACCGATCACCATGTTAAATTTTTTTTTGCACTGTGTAATATTTTTTTACTTGTTGTATGTGCTCCAAACTCTCTTGAATTTAATAATGATTGCTTCTACCTTGTCTGAAGAAATTGTTTTTATTTTTATTTTCTCCTTTTATGCTAGTGCACTTGGTATAGTTGTTTATGACCTAATCTTAATGGCCCTTGGTATTATAGATTGGTAATTTGTTTCTTCAAATTTATGTAATTTTTAATGCATTAATTTAAGGGGAGACTCATATATTTTGAGATTAACAATTATTATAAAAAATAATAAAAAAAGGGGCGCGTGTATATTCTGTGCATAATTTTAGAGGGTATATATATATATATATTTTTTTTTCCTTATCTGCACTACTTCTTATCTGCACCACCAATTTTTTTTTTTTTTTTTTCCAAAGACAGAATTTATAAAATAAAAAAAGGGAAGGAGAAATGCTTGCAATTTTGTTTTAGAAGGAGAAAATATTACTCGATTACATGTAAGTTTTCAGGAGGCTTCACAGATTTTTTCCGTTTCACTTCTCTCAACAATTTTTCATGAGTCTTGGCATTTTTTCCGTCTCTCTCTATTTTCGACTTTTGTGAGTCTTGGCATTATAATCCTTGCATAATATTGCACCGCATTCTCCAATTGTGCATTTTTCTTTTTTAGCTCTTTCTTCTCCTTACACATATTAACCAGTTGTTGTTTTAACAAGCACACCTCATCTCTCCATTTGCTAATTGTCTTGTACTCTTGCTTGTAATCGTTACACCATATTGGAAACCATAGCCATTATCTGTGTACTAAGAGCCATAGTGTTATTAATAGTATCGATATCATTTCGATTACTAATAACACTAGGACCTTCATTTACAGGAATAACATGTGCCTGCACCATTGGTACCCTCTCATTGGCCTGCATTACAGGCACCTCATGCATGTCTGAACCATTGATGACTAAGGTAAGGAATGACATGATTATACAAGAAAGCAAAATAAATTTTTTTCTCTAACACTTGATATTTTTATCTCTTTGCCTATCATCCTTATCACTTTTATACACTCCATCGATCCAATCCTCCATGCATATCTGCTCAAATATTTTGTTTGTCAACATTTTGTGCGCTCGAGATGCTCCAAAATCCCCACAATGATCTCGACAAGACCTACGGACCATTATTATATTTTTCACATCTCAGATTATTTTACCAAATGTGTTTGTTTCGTATCTCCATATTTTATTTTGATGATGTCAAAGGGGGAGAAAAAATATGACTTTGAATTGTTGTGCATGCGTGCGCTTTAAATATTTTATGTTGCAAAATTATCAAATAACTTGTTGATTTTTATTTTTTGTCAAATCCATACAAATATTGTTATGATAAAAAAGGGAGAGATTGTTAATCATATTGTTTAATTTTGATGATGTCTAAAATATTATTTCTCAAAATTTGAATTTTTTAATATACATATTATTTGACACAAAATATTATCTGTTTAAAATATATATTGTATGATACCTTTCTTAAATATTATTTAAATGAAAATATTTTGAAAACTTTACTATTCACTTTTTTTTAAAAAAAAAATTAGGCTGATCACTATTCATCTTTTGACAAATTGATTGGTTGTATTATTTTGACAAATTTGGTATTGATAGGTTGTCTTCTTTTGACAAAATTAATTTGGAGTGGAAGGATATATTTAGTTTAAAATCTCTACAACATATATAATAATTTAAAAAGGGCATATATTTTCAGATCTATCATAAATATTATTTAAAGAAATTTTTTTTGTATGCAACTATCTGATTAAAATATTATATATATTGTGAGGACATAATTTTTGAATGACAACACGTGGCCGAGGTGTCACCGAAGTGCCGGCCGAGGTGCCACGTGTCATGGTCATGATGCTGAGATGATCTCGGCTAAGTCGAGGTTATCTGTGAATATGTCAGAATCCGAGATAAGTGGATAAGGGACAAGAGTCCTAGAATGAGAGAAGACTTCAGTTTGGGTAAAGATGAGACTCTTAGAGAGTTTATCCTAATCCTACTGGGAGTCCAAGATTAGTAGTAATCCTAAGTCCATTAGAGCTAGGCTTCTATTGGGACTAGGATTGTGTTGGCTATAAAAGGGAGGACCCCCATGGGTCTAAGGTATGCTTTTGATATTCCGTCTAGTGAGTTAAGCACTATTGGTTATCTTTGAGAGATATTGAGTACTGACTTGATCGTCGGAGTGCCCCCGGGTGAACGAGCCACCGTCGAAAACTCTTCTTTCTGTTACAGGTCGTTCGGGCTTAATCTATTCTGCCGGTGTTCTCCAGTTGAGTACTAAGTTGGTAATGTGGTCAGAAAATCACACACACAATTTGGCGCTGTCTGTGGGAAAGAAAGGAGAATAAATGGCCAACGACGGACAGAAAGAGAAGGTTGGGAACGACACCCCTACCGAGAGTGGGAAACATATTGACCTTGACGTCGAAGAAGACAACTGCAATGAAGAGACTCGAGATAAGAATCACGGAGGAAAGGACGTCGGCCAGGAGGGCGGCGAACCGAAGAAATCAGACCGGAGCGGGTATTATAACGAGGATGACCTCCAGGTATGGAAAGATAGATGCCTGCGGAGGGATGACGAGATAAAGGGAATGACGGACAAATTGGCAGACTTGCAAATGATCGTCAATTTCATGATGCAGAACAACGTCATGCAGCCACCGTTCCCGTCACAAGATACGCCGATTCCAGCAGCCAAGAAAGATGCCCAGGTAGGGGGGCAGAAGACAACTCCTACGACTTCTCAGCACGATAGGACCAAGGAACATTCTCACTGGCCTTCAAGGGAGGTCGGACGAGGAGAATCAAGAAGGGGAGATTCACAGAGGACACATCGCACTAAGGAAGCTGACTCCAAATAACATCGGCATGTTCAGGGAAAGGACCTTTGTTTCGACGCGACCAATGGAGGGAGGTCCAAAAGGACTCGCAATGACACAGAAAGTAGTGCACCAAAGAGACTGAAATCCGGAGATAGCCGAGCTCGTGGATGAACCAAGAAGGATCTGAGGGATTACCTCCAGAGAAAGCGACAAGATGCCGAGGTAACCTCACCTATCAAGCCGAGATAACACTGGATATAAGAAGACAAGAGCTCAGCCCAAGTAAGCCGATCCCAGATTCCAGATCTCGGATCCCAGATCCCAGAAGACAAGATCTCGGCCTAAGATGATTAAGTTCGAGAAGAGAAGAGTAAACTTAGATGATGTTTAACACTTGTTGAAACTTGAGAAAAGTTTACAAGTTGAAGTTAAACCGAGATTATGTTTAACACTTGTTGAAACTTGAGAAAAGTTTACAAGTTGAAGTTAAACCAAAATGATGTTTAACACTTGTTGAAACTTGAGAAAAGTTTACAAGTTGAAGTTAAACCAAAATGATGTTTAACACTTGTTGAAACTTGAGAAAAGTTTACAAGTTGAAGTTAAACCAAAATGATGTTTAACACTTGTTGAAACTTGAGAAAAGTTTACAAGTTGAAGTTAAACCGGGGTCATGATTAAAAGAATGAATGATATAGGTTCCATCACCTCAGGATGCCGAGGTAATAGAACCTAGGGGCCAGTTGTGAGGACATAATTTTTGAATGACAACACATGGCCGAGGTGTCACCGAAGTACCAGCCGAGGTGCCACGTGTCATGGTCATGATGCTGAGATGATCTCGGCTAAGCCGAGGTTATCTGTGAATATGTCGGAATTCGAGATAAGCAGATAAGGGACAAGAGTCCTAGAATGAGAGAAGACATCGGTTTGGGTAAAGATGAGACTCTTAGAGAGTTTATCCTAATCCTACTGGGAGTCCAAGATTAGCAGTAATCCTAAGTCCATTAGAGCTAGGCTTCTATTGGGACTAGGATTGTGTTGGCTATAAAAGGGAGGCACCCCCATGGGTCTAAGGTATGCTTTTGATATTCCGTCTAGTGAGTTAAACACTATTGGTTATCTTTGAGAGATATTGGGTACTGACTTGATCGTCGGAGTGCCCTCAGGTGGACAAGCCACCGCCGGAAACTCTTCTTTCTGTTGCAGGTCATTCGGGCTTAATCTATTCTACCGGTGTTCTCCAGTTGAGTACTAAGTTGACAGTGTAGTCAGAAAATCACACACACACACACACACACACACACACATATATATATATACATCTATATAATAAGGCAAGAGACTTTTTGAAAATGTCTTCAAATGTATGAGAGATACATTTCAATTCAACGACTGAGATGAATTATTTTTGACCATTGAAGGCTGAGATGGTTTGTGACATTTTCACATTCCCGCCCAAAACAATCCCTCTCTCGCTCTCTTTGCAACGTCTCACCCACCTACCCACCCACGACAAACCCAAACAATATGCACTTCTCATTGAAGGCTGAGATACTGACATTTGCACTTCTCTCTTCTCAGGTGTCAATCTCTCTCTTCCTCTCCCTCCCCCTCCTTTCCACTGCTGCTCCGCTTCCACCGTAGCGCCGCCTCCGAACTCCACCGACAGCAACCCTTCATCTTTTCTCCCTCCCAGATCTCAGATCTTCTCTCTCCTCCGATCTCCACCGACAGTAACTCCTTCTGCCTCTCGAACTTGGCTTGCAAGGTAAGATTTCTGCCTCTCCCCTTCTCTCGCTGTCGGGCTGTGTTTTGGTTAAGATTGCGTCAGGAGCATTCTATGGTGCCTTTGCAACTGCGCTGACCAACCCTGTGGAAGTTCTGAAGGTATTTCGATTTAAAAGCTTTTCTAAACATTTTAGACTTTGTCTTACTTAATGCTCTTCTTTTTTCAGGTGCGGTTGCAGATGAATCCAAACTTGAGAAGAGGAGCAATAGGGGAAATGAGAAAAATTGCTTCAGAAGAGGGAATAACGGCTCTCTGGAAGGGGGTTGGCCCTACTATGGCCAGGGCTGCTTCTTTGACTGCATCACAGCTTGCAACATATGATGAATCCAAGCGGGTCAAGTTCTAAGCATGCTATTTTTCACTTTGAATATCCACGACGTAATTTCCAAAGTTTCTGATTAGTTTAGCTCTTATTTAATTTGTAGTCTAAAATGGGTTTAGGCTTCCCATTTTGCTTTTCTTTGTATCTGCTATATTTTATTTATTTTTCTAATATTTTTTCATCTATTCCTCTGTTGCAGGTTTTGATAAGGTGGACTCCTCTTGAAGAAGGATTTTATCTACATCTCATGTATGGCTTCTAGCTGTTCCACTTCTCCTTATTATCTATTGAGTACTGCAAATTGAGTTTTATTGAGTTTTAGTTTTCTCGAAACAAGTACCGTTCAAGCAAAACCCTAAGGTTGTGTTTGGATCTATGATAATTTTATAACGTTTTCATGTATAATTGTTAATTTTTCATCTACAACATGTTTCTTTGCTAGAACAGATTTTTTGCTTCTCTTCTAATAAAATTCTCTTTTCTTTTATTTTCATAGGACGATGGAGATTTGCACCAAATTATAATATGAGCTCTCTTTACTCATCTTATTTCATTGGAAAAATTACAAATCAGCGAGTTTTTTAATATTTTGTGAAGCTATCACCTATTTACAATTTTTCTTATTTAATTTACTCATCTTCTTACTATACATTTTCTTTTTTATATATAGGTCCAATGTCTACGATAGATAAATGTTGGTGTTCTGATCTGTGATGAGTAGGACCCAAATTTTTGTCTTACATTCACATTTGGAAAGTTTTCTATAAGATTTGACTTTAATTTATTTTTTATTTTTTATGATTGGTTGGTGTGCATTGTTTGTTGTTTTGTTTTAATTAAATTATTTTAGAATTGCAGAGCACTGGTGTGCATTGTTTGGTTAATTTTATTTTATTATAATGGTAGAACATTAGTTTACCATTTTAATTTTAATGAATATTATAAATTTTATACGTTTATTCCTTAATTTGCATTAAGATTAGGGGAGTTGTTGTTTTTAATTGAATTCTGTAGAGGGTATGATACATATAAATTACAAATATATTTCGATCCTAATATTATTTACACTGTGCCTTTAGGTACGGATATACAGTAGTATATATATATTATGAAAAAGATTAAAATAATTTTTTTTTTAATTTTTATTAGAAATGAGAGAGAGAGAGAGAGCACATCAGTGAGGGAGAGAGAGAGTGTCAGAGGGAATTTTGTATTTTTCTTTTTTAACTAATCTAAGTCATAAATTTTTAGTGTAATGACGTGACCCAATTTAGGCTGTGCCTCTGGAGAAAAAATTTTAGAGAGGATCTGAACTCATTTAGCCAAGCCATGAAGAAAGAGAAGGGGGGAAACCACATTGTCCCATGGCAGAGTAGTTAGAAAAAGATGTGAAAATCACATGTATTTTTATTTTTATTTTTATTTTTTTATTAGTTTTATATATATCACTAAACATACATTTTAATTTTTAACACATCATTGTACACTCTAAATTAATAAATTTTTAACACATAAATTAGGCCCTATTTGGGAAGATGGCTATTTCAGTAGGCTATTTTAGTTTTTAGTTATTTCAGTAGGCTAAAATTTTTGTGTTTGGGAAGATAATTAAAATTTTTTGTAGTTGGATGTATTGTTTGTGACAAAAAAAGTAAAATGATTATGGATTTAATGTGACATTTTGTCTTATTAGTTATTTTAGTCTATTTTATCTTTTTGTGAATTTTAAACTAAAAAATCAAGTTTTAACCTTTGTCAAACAAGGCCTCATATTTATGTTGTATGACACATTAACACCCAAATTTAGTCACTTCATTATGGTGCTCTAAGAGTTCTATTTTGCTTTTTTATCTATTCTTATTAGCATCTAAGTGTTTATACATCATTTTTTTTTTTAAAATTTTATTTTGGTTATGTATGCATTTATTTCATAGATTTTTCATGAACACCTACAAGAAAATGCCAAATAAAGGAATTACAAATAATTTGTTTTACATCTAATCAGAGTGGCGCAGCGGAAGCGTGGTGGGCCCATAACCCACAGGTCCCAGGATCGAAACCTGGCTCTGATAATTTATTTGTTTTGTTGTTGGTTTTTATTTTTTTTGACAAACATACAAAATCAACTTGGCTTATACTTTCTGATAAAATAATAGAAAATCACTCTCTCACATAAAAACGTATAAAATATTATTTTGTTGTTAGTTTTTATTCTTTTGACAAACATACAAAATCAACTATGGGTTTTATTTTTTGATAAATAAGAAATCACTATCTCTCACACAAACGTATAATATTGTGATTCGGGGAGTCAGTAGATACTTTTGTGTAGCTTAAACATTTTCATTATTCTTTTGACAAACATACAAAATCAACTCTAAGTTAGTTCGCATGTTCGAGTTTAGTTCGCATGTTCTCATTTTCATTTTCATTATTCATTAAACATGCAATTTCACAATTTCTTTGCAATTTCAATATTAATTTCTTTATTATTTGTTTTTAAACTTACTTATCTTAATGTAAGGTAATGCGTTTTCTTTCGATTTTCGTTTTCTCCATCAAATGCGTCCATTCTGAGTGCCCGTTTTGTATCTGTCTTCTAAACCACAATTTCATATGACTTCTTTTCAACATGGGTCATGTATTGCTTAATAAATATTCAAAATGTATTTAAGGTTGGAAACAAAATGAATCTGAATAGGTGTAGGTGAAGATTGAAGAAGGTGATAGAGTATGTGCGTGTTCAAATCGTGAGATGGGTTTTTATATTTGGTTAAACATCACTGGTTAGAGTTGATCTCAAGCATTGCCCATTTGCGGAGGTAATTTATGCTTAATAGATTTGGTTAAACAACAAAGACATTCCCTTACAATAGGTATGGTTAATGATAAGAAAACTGGTAGTGTAGTATGCTTAATACATATATGGTTGAAGATCATCTAGCATGCTTAATACACCATTGAGTGTTATTCTTTGTTACTTTTTAATCTGAATGTTATTCTCTGTTTCTTTTCTTTTTTTTCATTACCAAGATGAGTTCAATTTGGTTGTTGATTTAGATTTTGTTATTTCTTTTTTTTTTCTTATTAGTTGGTGCGCTTTTTTATTTTTATTTTTTTGAAGTACATTAGTTAATGACAGGGCTTTTTTTTTTTTCCCTTTGATTTGATGTCCAAGTCTGAATTTAGGACTTATTTGTTCTATTTTTTTTTAATACTAATACAATTTGTTATTGAAGTGATGAACATGAGCATGGAGAGAAGCCTATAGATCACCACCACAGGTGGTTATGGTGTAGTTGGTGGTGGTGGTGGTTTGTTGGTGAAGAAGAGAGGGAGGCCAATAAAGTATGACTCAGATGGTAACTTAAGACGACCATCTATATCACCACCACCACCAGGTTTTTCTTTCTCACCTCATTTTCCATCATTATTTACACCGTGCCTTCAGGCACGGACAGACCACTTGGTTCTGGTAACTGCCAGCTGCTTGAGATGAATAGGTGAGTTTATCAAATCAATCCTTTAAATTAACCTTTTCCCTTGCTGCAATTCAAGACTTCCTTCATCAAACACATTGAAAACAATAGGTATGATTTAACTTGATTTTTATTTTTTTGAAGTACATTAGGTAGTGTGATTGTTATTTTTTTGAAGTACATTAGTTAGTGTTATTGCACATGGTTAAATCAGAATGAAAGTGTTTATTCATTCTCTTCATGGGTTTTATGTTCATTGAAGCGTATGTGGAAATAATTCGACAACCTTATGTATGGGGTGGAGAGCCTGAGTTGCTGATGGCATCCCATGTTCTCAAGTGAGTTCTATTCACTGTTTCAGTGAAGCATTTATGTTGTCAGTATGAAGCAATTTATGTGCAAAAAATAATATCATAGTGTTCATCAAAGTATTTTTTTCATATTGCCTCATATACAATGGTATTTGTCTATTTATTAGTTTGACAGAAGGGTTTGTTTCTGGAAAGTTATATTTGACACTGTTAGTTGAATTGGATGGGCATACATAGGGACATGTGAATGTGGGATTTCTGGGTTTTTGACCGTTCATTTATCTAAATACAAATTTACCTCTTATGGTTTGTGAGATTTTGTTCGTTATTGGGTTTGAATCACACTTCAAATTTTTAAGTGGTTTTGTTTAACTGTTATGATGTTGAAAATTATGGTTCTGTCTTAACTGTTATGATGCTGAAAATTATCTCCGATGGTAGTGTCGTTTTCTTTAATGTTAATATTTTATGGTGCTGAAAATGCTATTTGGTGCAAGTATGTCATATTCTGCCACTGATTAAACTCTGAGCTATTAGTTCACAATTGGTGGCTTGCTGCAACTGAAAATGCTATTTGGTGCAAGTATGTCATATTCTGCCATTGATTAAACTCAATTGATTAAATTCTGGGAACTCTTTGAGCTACATTATTATTAAAGTATTAGGAAATGGATGAATATTTATATAATAAAGCATGACAGTTTTTGAAAATATTTGGCATGCTTTTATTATTTATGTTAAAACCCAAACTTCAACTGTTCTTTCAAGTTTAATGCCCTACAACTCAGCAGGATTATATTACCCGTCTATTGTTCTTTCTCAAGTTTAATGCCCTTTTTCCATTGTTGATTATGAAAACTTACAGGGCACTTAATTGCACTTAATTGCATTTGTTGATTATGCCCTTTTGCCACATGTACTGAATCAAGTAAGTTTTTACTTCTCTTGATGGCACACTTGGGCTCCAACCAATTGAAGTTTCTTCCTAATTTTTAAGAAAAGAAAGGTGAACACGGGTTGTTTTGTCTGACCTCCCATTTGACTGTTTAAGCTTTATATATATAATCTAACCCCCAGTTGATAAACTGGAAGAAACAGTATGAATTAGGCTTGATGATTATATTTTATGTTGTTTGATTATTGCATTGAAGTGCATGACTGGTTTGACTTTTATCTTGCAGTATTTACCATTATATAATTTTGAAACTTGAAAAATATTTTTGGCTTCTTTTACTAAGTCCTCAAACCCAACATTTTTGGCTTCGTTGGCTTCTTTTGCTAAGTCCTCAAATCCAACTTCCCAAACATAGGCTATATAATTTATATTAGATCTGCAGCTCTTTTCCAATAAGTTTGCCTTATTGTACTGAGTGCTTAATGCATGCACTATTTTTGATCCATTATTTGTCGATCTCCATGATGGATTAATGAAGAAATTAATTGTTGTAAACAAAGGTGGTGCCATAGAATTTTAGTAATTCAGTAAAGGGGAAATTGCTCCAATGATA